AAATGATCGCTGGGGCAATCCAACCCAGTGGGTCGAATAGTTTTTGTAAATCTGATAATAAGTCTCTCTTTGTTATGTCAATAAATTGTGCAGGTAAGTTAAGATTGTATTTAAATTCATCATTTTCCAAATCCCATGATACGCCAAGTGCCTTTACGATTCCATCTAATTTCATATCTATGTGTGCTTTGGCTGACTTTTCTCCTTCATCAAGAGATTTTAGAAATTCAGGACTGTTTGAACACCATTTTTGTAATCTGAATTTTCCCTTGCTTAGTACAGTCTTCAATTGCTTGCTTGCCTCTATGGCTTCTTTGACAGTATCACACCCGGACATCACATCATCAACGTAGAAGTCTTCGCGTATAATTCTTTTGGCAATAGGATGGTCTTCACCCTCGTCTTCTGACAGCTGCATTAGTGTTTTTATAGCGAGATAGGGCGCTGATGCTGTCCCAAATGTGACTGTAAGTAGCCGGTAGTGTTTGACCTCGTCAGATATTGAAGTATTCTGTCTCCACAATACTCTCTGGAAGTCGGCGTCTTCTTTTTGAATGAGAATCATTCTGTACATCTTCTCTATATCGCTCACAAAACAGACCTTGTGCATTCTCCACCTCATGATGATACTTCTAAGATCTTCTTGCAGGACCGGTCCATTCATCAGTTCATCATTGAGCGATATATTGTTTGAGCCCTTGCACGATGCATCAAAAACAACGCGGGTTTTTGTCGTTTCCTTTTCAGTTCGCACGACTGCATGGTGTGGTAAGTAAACAGATTTATTGTTTAGTTCGTTTTGTGGTACTTCCTGCATGTGATTTAATCTAATGTATTCTTCCATGACTTCTTTATAATTTTTCTCTAATTCTGGCTGTCTATCAAATCTTCTTTCAAGCATTTGTAATCTTTTCATTGCAATATTGTATGTATTTCCTTCTACTGATTGTGGTGTTTCTGTTTTAAAAGGTAGTTTGACTATGTATCTTCCTTCTTCTGTTCTAGTGTAATTTTCCTTGTAGATTCTCTCACAATTTTCTTCTTCTTTTGTTAGTTTTCGATTCATATCTGTATCAACTTCCCACAGTGTTTTCAACATATCTTCCATTTCTATTTGCTGATGCATGACTATTATCGATTCTTCCCTTACATCTTCACAATCATTTACTTTTCCAAATAAGATCCAGCCCAAAGTTGTTCTTTGTGCAATAGGAGACCCAGGTGGACCCTTTATAACTTCACTTTGTATGATTTGTGCGTATTCATTTACACCAAGAAGTAAGTCGATGTTGGCTGGTTGACTAAACTTAGGGTCAGCCAGTGTTAACCCATCTAAATGATTCCAGTTGTTTGTTGGTATTTTTTGAGTCGGTATCTGAGTAGTCAGTTGCTTTGCAATTACATATGCTTTCACTCTGAGGCTGAATTCTTCATTTCTCGATGAGACCTCTATCTGAACTACTTGTTTTAATCTTGATTTTACTTCACCTACTCCGACAATGCTTCCCTTCACTGGATACCGTCTCGCTCTAATTGTTTGTGCTGCTCGTTCACTTATAAAACATCCTTGTGATCCAGGATCAATTAAAGCTCGCAGAACTGTGGTGTGGCCATCTTCACTCTTGCATTCCACCAGGGCTGTCGCTAGCAACGCAACAGCTGTACTGTGAGTTGTGTTTGTTTGTGACGTCATCACTGCTAAGTTTATTTCTTCTCCTGATTCTGACTCTTCATCTACATTTGCGTGTAAAACCTTTGGCTGTTTCGTATCATTCCTTTCAGTGGGGCCAGAGGCATCGTTTGACCTTTTCGAATGTAGAAGGGTGTGGTGACGTCGCTGACATAATCTGCACTTGGTGAGTAGTCGACATGCTATAACTCTGTGTCCAGGAACCAAACAGTTGTAACAAATGTACTTTGACTTCACAAACTCGCTTCGTTGTTCCGGTTCCATCTTTCCAAAGTCTTTACAATGACTGAGTGTGTGAGTTTCTTCGCATAAAGGACATGTCTTCTCGGTAGCAGCGCCAGATGTGTGGTAAGATCTCACTATTCTTTCTTTGGACGAAGTTGGTTGTTGCACAAGCTCGAGCGTTCTAAATTTAGACTCCAAAAACATCTTTAATGACTCAAATGTAGGTAATTCTTCACTTCCTTGGTTGCTAACATGTTCTTCCCATTCCTTGTGTGTGTCTGTGTCTAATTTTTGCACCACCAGATAGTTGATAAGTGGATCCCAATCATCAGTTCTTATATTCATATTTTTTAGACTATTTAGACACTCAGATGTTGTATCAATAAGTGACCTTATGTGGGAGGGATTCTGGCTAGTAAGTTTCTTTTGAGAGAACATGCGTTTTAATAAAGATGTTACAATAAGTCGTTTGTTACTATACCGCCTTTTCAATGTCTCCCAAGCTTGCGTGTAATTTGCTTCATTAATTTGAATATGTCGCAATAATAATTCAGCTTCGCCAGTAACGCTCGTTTTTAAATAGTGTAATTTCTGCACGCCGCTAATTGTGTTATTCCGATCCACTAGTGAAATAAATAAATCTTGAAACGTAGGCCACGCTTCATAATTCCCACTAAATTTCGGTATTTCTATACGCGGTAATTTCACTTCTGGGGATTGTGTAGTTGAAGATGTATAGTGTGTTTCTTGTCTCGTTGATTTTTGTTGCGATTCAATTGTAAACAACAAATCTTTCATATCAGATTTCGCTTGCATAGCTTGTTCTTCACAAATAAAGTACTGGTTTTGTTCAAAGTAAGGCAATAATTTCCGTTGTTCTTTTGTCACACTTTTCATTAATGTAGTATGTGCGAGACGAAACTGATTCCAATATTCTTCAACAGATTGTAATTTCACTGTCACATAGCCACGTGTAAGCCGCACCTTTGGGCATTTCTTAAAGTTCTCGTACGTTTTCGCAATAAGACGATATAAATCTTCTAATTCACATAAAGTTTGTTCGACGATTTCCATGGTTATTTATCAATCCTTACTTATGCGTAAAAATACAATCACTGTGTAGCTTGTATATCCAGGAACGCCATTTAAATAATCTTGAAGTGAAATTCCGATGATAAAATGTCCAAAATCCGCAAAATAACGATCAAATCCAAAGTTGTAAAATAATATTCTTCACTCGTAAACAACTTTCAATCTTCAATGCTAATTTATGCAAAAAAATTTTATAAAAAAAAATAAAACCGACTCCAAAAAACCTACATTAAAAAGTAGAAAAATAATTACTAATAACCTACTTATTTATTAGGACGAATTAATATTTATGTAGGTATACCATGATTGATACTTCTGGAGTCGGTGCCAAGATTATGAAACATGTAAAGTTTGCCTGCACCGACTCCAAAAGTATCAATCATGGTATACCTACATAAATATTAANTTACCCTATTAAATACATTTTTGTAAAATATTGTAAAGTATGCAATTAAACTAGCATATAGCTAAAGCATTAATTTCAAACTTCGTTCGTTCGTTCGTTTCATTCGAAAATCGTCCACTGCTGGACAAAGGCCTCCCCCAAGGTCCGGTCCTGCGTCGCATGTAACATATATCAAGTTTTTACGTAGTCGCTAACGGGCACCCATCATGTACTATAGGAAGAACATTTCTCATTTCCTCACATTTTTCTCTTTCAAAAAAACCGTCCCCGTATGTTCCAGCACAACCACGCAATCTGCCATTTGATCGATCACTGGAATCACGATAAATCTTGCCCTTATTAATCACAGATAGAGCCCTCGGGGCTTCGGTCTGTTGCCAACAAGTTTAACTTGTGTTCGTTAAATAAACTATTATAAGGAGGTTAATAGGCGTACCTAACCTACTTGTAGTTAAAATGGATATGACGAAAGGTAATTTATTTGTTTATTAAAGACGCAAAACAGAATTAGAAAAGATTGGTTGATATTTAAGAGCTTTTTATGTCGGTTTCTATTATAAAAAACATCTTGAATGAAGGATCATTAAATACCTACCGATTATTTCTTACTAGCTTTCCGCCCTCGGCTTCGCACGCGTTGAATTTTGTCTGTCACAGAAAATGTTTATCGCGCGCGTCTCTGTTTCAGAAACCGGGAAAAAACTATCCTATATCCTTTCCCGGGACTCAAACTATCTCTATGCCAAATTTCATCAAAATCGGTTCAGTGGTTTAGGCTTGAAAGCAAGACAGACAGAGTTACTTTCGCATTTATAATATTAGTATAGTATATAGTATAATAATAGTAGGTATAGGTAGGTACTTGTGGTACCTACTTACAAGAATACCTATCTTATACAGTAGAAACAAAAGAGTCCTTATAAGGCCTAAAGAATTCAGCCTTGATTTTGCCCGATTATACCTTTCATCCTTCATGAGCATTTCACAGGATTCTAGGCTTTATTTCAAGTGGAAAAATACGAAAATCATGCAAAGATAACAGATTTGCATATGGAAAGGGATTATGCGAAATAAAACCACGGGCTGATTAGCACGGTAACTTAAATCGTCGCTGGCAGAGACGGACGGAGTTTCCAGTCCTAAAATATATTAGAATTTAACAGGAATCTAAAACTTTAGTTAAATCCTAAGCAAAACCTTGAATAGTGTTCAGACCATGCGTTGATTTTAAATTCACGGAGTGCTACATTTTTTTGAGTAGGTATAGTTAATTAATTTGTTGTAATAATGTTTAATAACCGAATGAAATCCAGGAAAAATAATTATTAACGACATACATATTGTCATAGCTAGCACTGTGGCATCCTTGATGACATCTTTCAATCATCAAATGTTGTTTTTATTCAACCTGTCTGAATAATATGAACATTAATTACCAACTAAAAATATGAAAATTATCTACGAGTACTATTCAGGCCACTTTTTCTACACTAATATTATAAAGAGGAAAGATTTGATTGTTTTGATCAATTGAATAGGCTCCGAAACTACTAGACTTATATGAAAAAGGCGAGTACGAAGTTCGCTGAGTCAGCTAGTACAGACATAAACACACGTGAGTCTCAGCAATCAACACATTACTATGAGGTCTCACAGTACGTGTGGACGCACAGGATGACACACAAACGAAACACAGAGCTCCATTCAACGCTGTGCGTTAGATTTGCTGCTTCACTTAAGTAAGCATCGTTTGTGAATACGGGCGTTAGTACTACTATCTATACAGTTGTCGTATGAAATACTTGGCGGGCTCCAACGATCCCTGGATCCGGCCCCGTCGCGTGCAAATGGCGAATAAATAACCAGTGAGATAAAGAAACGAATTGCAATACCGCCTGCATAGCTAAGCAGATAGTAGGCTGCCGTAATACTTGCTGCATTGGCTGAAAGTTTAAAGAATAATAATGCCCACTGGGCTGCACTTCTTGCTCGAGTAATATTTTTTTACTATATTATGCGGGAATTTGATCTAATGCTATACCGGGTGGTGTAGGCTGTTTCAAACTAAGAGGTATGAGCAGGACGTCAGTGTTTGCAAGACCACACGCTGTTGGTACTTATGTTTTTTTTTCAATGCAAATATATCTTAAACTTAATATGGACAGGCCTCCTACTAGGTGGACCGACGATCTGGTAAAGGTTGCGGGAAGAGCCTGGATACGGGCAGCGCAGGTCCGTTCATTGTGGAAAACCTTGGTGGAGTCCTTTGTCCAGCAGTGTACGTCATTTGGCTAAAACGAACGAACGAGCGATATCTTAAACAGGGTGACTTGACGAATGAGTGAACATCCTAGAGATTATTGTACAGGTAATATGCAACCGTTAAAAATATAACCAAGCAAAAGTCAACCATTTAAGAGATATTTATTAGATATTTTATTTTGTTTGAGAAAACTTTGAGATCGTATAGTATAGGATATTATTAACTTGGACATTGTAATTAATAAACGAAGAGGTTATGGACCTCTTTGAGGAAATTTGACAATTTTATGAATATCTAACACCCTAGTATTTTTAAGTCTCACAATCGTAATAGGAATTCCTCGAACATTTCTGATAAGCTTAGGTAACTGTATTGATCAGTTTAAGACTCTCCATTAAACAAACTTAAGTTCTCAAGATAGTAGGTAATTTATAAGGTCTAATGCATAAATTATTTCCATAAGCCTGTTCGTTATTATTCATGAATTCCTGTTTAGAACCAAAATCAGACGTTCCCTTTGCAAGGTAATTGTTTATGGGGCAAACTTGCTTCTCACACAGAAGTATCGGAGCAATGTTATTTATTCAAGGGAAAATTCAGGAAACATTATGAATGGATTTAAAACAAGATCCATTGTTAGGAAAAGATGCTTTTACGGATCTTCATTCGCGCAAACTTCCGCTTTTGTGAACTTAAGTATTATAATGTACTAAACATAAACTACTCGTATATTATGATATTGATGGTAAAATAGGTATGTATTTGTATTTCTGGTGACTTTTGGGTTACTTTTAATATTCACATAACAAAAAAAAATGTGAAACCACAATTTATTTCTTTTCCAAGATACCTACCTTAGACATAGAGGGAGCTTTTGACAACACTCCTACTACACTGCTGGTCGAAGGTCTGGTTGCAAAAAGCCTTGACCTGACGACCACGAGATGGGTGGAGTCGATGCTCTCCAACAGGAGAGCNAGTGGGAGGTCTGCCCACATGCTGATAACATGTTCCATCGTAATAAACTTCTTTCCGACATAATTTAATAAAGAAAACACCTAAAATGACCTAAAACCACAATTTTATTTTGCTTTTCACACGTCAATAAGCCAGTGAGTTACGTTACTATGACAGCTAAGGTATTTTTCGATGACATCTTTGAAAATTGCAACTCATGGTAAGTTATTTGTATGAAACTTAATAAAAACTTTAGTCGCTATCGTATTCATTTAGATAGGTTTTTTACCTAACGATTTGAGATGAACTCATGGTAGTGTTTTTAGTTTTGCTGTGGTTCAGCTACTAACCGCTAGAGGCGCTGTACAATTTGCCATACATTTTTTTACGCCCTCGATAGCGAGATGCTCGGTAGGTAAACTCATGGTAGAGGCACTGTTCCTTAAGCACTCTAGTTTTCACACCTGTATTATAATCAAGAGCAAAACTGATACCACTTTTTCTCCAATCTAAACCTGAGCATACAGAACAAAAATATCGAATCCAATCACCCACGTAAAGCTTACAAAGCTTATAAGAGCGAAGCAATTGCCCGGCTGGGCTTCGCAAAACAAATAGAAGTCTGGGATATTGTCTACTGTAGAGGGTTTTTCACGCATTTTTATGGCTTTGGTTGCAGTTTGTTTTTAAATGCAGAATGAAAATGGTCTTGAAGCACTTGAAGCGCTCTTAATAAATATAACCTATGTCCATAAGAGCCAAAGCATACGTTACGTTGCGGCCCCGCACCGCTCGTGTGCCCGCTACAGTATTTCTATGAAGTACAGTGACACCCAGCGTTGCCAGACGTCCCGATTTTGGCGGGACGTCCCGATTTTTTAATCAAATTTAAATGTCCTGCGCGGGACAGGCTCGGTCCCGCTTTTCGGAGAGAAACACTCACTTCACCAGACTATTGTTTGAAACGCCATATTAATGTAAATAATAAAACTTTTTTAATTTCGATATTTTTTCTTTTTTTATTCTAAAGACGTATTTAATGATAGAGTAAATCTGTACCTCTAGCATGAAAAACTTTCGTCTTCGAATCGTTTGCGTATTCGATAAAATTCGATACTCAACCTTCGAATTAAACGATAACGTGACAATTTTGAGTCTCAAAATAAGTTTCGTGCAACCATTTCTTACACTAAGTTCACTTTACGACACGTCCACAAGGGTGCTGTTGTAGTTTTCGTACTAAATCTTTTGATGGCGATTTGAGTACGCAAACGATTTGAACTCGAAATATTTTCGTGCTAGCCGTACCTACTGATTTGATTTTTTTTTTTGTTAAAGTACATTTTCTATGGCTACTTTTGCTATCTATTGTCACGTAAACGTAATTTTAGGTCAAATAAAAAGATAAATATTTGAAAACCTTTGATTATATACGTTTTTTTACTATGTCCCGCTTTTGACGGAAGAATCCCGCTATTTTCACTCAAAAAGTACCAAAGTCCCGACTTGGCGAAAAAAAAAACTGGCAACGCTGGTGACACCGCTCC